GCGACAGCCCGACATGTTAGTCAAAGAGCAGCACAGGACGTGTGCCAGAGAGAAAATGAGAGCAAGAAAATGTCTTGCTCTCCAGGGAATCTCCCCCTGGGATGAGAGCTGATCTAAAACACCCCCCCCACCCCACCCACCACCACCTTCACTCATCTCCCCGTGGCAGGCCTGGGCCACTCAGATAAGACTGTGCAATTAATAGCACTGCAGGACCATTGCCCATGGGGACACTTCAAAGATTGTGAATGCGTGTGCGTGCTTGGGGCACATTGGAATACATGAAACAGTTTTTCAGCTTCTGTGTGGGTCAGAAGAGGCACGTAAAAACAGATATGTTTGTATTATTTCTTTTCCCGACACTCCCCGTTTACATGAAATGGAAAATAAAGCTGCTTTTTGTAACTGCAGCAGTCATAAACAGGGCCTGTCATACACAGCAGAGCATTTTATGCCACATTTGGTACGCAGTGGCTCGGGCTGGGAAAAATTGTGCTGGTTTGCATAAGGTAACAAAAGGGTTTTGCCTTTAAATGTCGTGTGGGTCGATCGATGTGTAGTTTCAGCAGAAAACGATTGGAGGCAGGAGGTCACTCACTTATTTCATCTTAAAATGAGAGCAACGATGTTTGGTTTCTTTTATGTTAGTTTGTGATAAAGCTTTACTATAAAAAAAAAAAAAAAGATTTTGAAATACTCCCAATACCTAAGAAAGCGGAGATACTACATCAGAGAAAAGTGGGGGTTTAAAGGTTTCTCATTTTGCTTCATATGGCTGATTTAGCATGTTTAAAAATATTTCAAGTGTTCTTCCTTTGTAGATCATCTTATCATGTAATCATTTTGTGATGGCCTAAATTTCTTTGTGCAAAAAAGAAAATAATGGCCTCATATTTGAACAAGCCTAAATGACAGGACACCACGACGATAAAGATCGCTGCATGTCAAATTTGCTTGAAAAGTACAGGGGATGGAAATGATGTTAGTCTTGGATGAAAACTGCTGTTTAAGTCCCTTTATGTAATAGAAGAACACACACACACACACACACACACACACACACACACACACACACACA